TTCATTTACATATAAGAAAAAAAATGTTGTCTTTTATAAAGCTGAAGATGTTTTAGTCTATTTTAGTTAATGGAATAAACTTGAATTATTCAGACATTTGAAAGAAAGTTCTTATTACTGTTTCCAAATGTTTCAATAAAAACAATGGGGCTTAAACAGACTGTTTGCTCCTCCATTTTTCATAAAAGTTGTAAATGACACTTTAATTCAGATGATCTGGTTCAGCGTTTTTGTTCTGATTAGACTACAGCAAAAATAATAATTTTCTCAAATACAGATATGTTACTTATGGCAGCAGGATGAACAAACCTGTGATCAACTTTATTTTACAAATGAATAATTTTCATAATTAAGTTTGAAAAGACAGAAGTGTTTTCTCATGCTCACAATTTGTAATAAAACATCATGTTAGATCCCTACATGGTGAAAAGTAAATGACCACTAAATGTAGTGTGACGATTATCATTGTCATAAATCCGTGAATTGGCCCACATGCGCAGAAATACAACATCTCCAATATCTAACAGCAGTGAGACGCCATTAGAAGCTTTCTGACCACTAGTAGGCTGATGTGTCCATGCTGTACAGATTTGCTCTCCATTCTTTAACAACACAGCAGATGTAGGATTATTAGAACCAACTCCATGTATGTAGAACTCAAAGTGATACACTCCTCTTACTGGTGCAGTGAACAGCCCTGTGAAGAATCATTAGCAGAATTAGAAACATTTTACTAACTTTACTTTCAGAACAAATTTACCACATTTTAGTTATGTTTGTAAACATATAAAAGAAAAATACAAGTAGTAAATTGCAGCACCTGTATTTGGGTTGTAGGCATTTCCAATATTAGTAGCAACATGTTTGAAGATCAGATTTATATGTGTGTTGAACGGTCCAGTGTATCCAGCACCCGATGCCAACAAAGAGGCAGAGAAAGCCAGTTGTTTGGCTGAGAGACAGACAAACATGGGATATCAAATGTAGTTATAAAGGAAGGAAAAGTATTAAACATTATAACATTTTCCACAGTTCATATTGTGTAAACATCTCTACTGACTGATAAATCCATTTAGTTCACATGTATCAAAATGTGCTGTTCTTCTCAGTCACTTTAATTCATTTCTCAGAACAGAATTGAAATTCTCAAAACTACTAGTTCAATCTTCACATTAATGTGTCTCTTCTGCACATCAGTTTCTCTCACCTTTGATTAAGCTGCAAATGTTTTTATTCCTCCAAGGGATTATGTACACTTCTCTGCTTTTTTCTACATTTTCATTTGCTTTAGATTAACTATTCTGAAACCTGAATCTTAGTAGATGACAAAGAATAATGATAACAAAGATTTTGCCAACAGTATTAAAATCACTAATATGAATGTTAATGTTATCAGAGTTTTCTTCAGAGTTCACAAACCTTCTCCTTCTGTCTTCAGAGCCTCCACTTGGTTTCCAATGATGTTGGCCTTGACTTTAACAGCAGCCAGTTCTGCTGCATGAGCTGGAATAAAAAAGTTACCAAAGACTCGGCATTAAATGAAACATTATGTCTCTGCAGTAATTACTCTGAGGTTTTGCTTTTTTTCCTTACTGATGTCTTCTCATGTCTAAAATGTATTGTATTAAGATGCAGTACATTTATTGTCTTTTATTATCTTTATTTAACAACAGCTATTAACAAGTATTGGTACAGTGGCTTGACAATAATTGAATTTTTCCACATTTTATAACCACAGATATGTTCCATAGTATTATATGGAATGTATTATTTATAAGACAGATCAACACAAAGTAATGCATCATTGTCAAGCAGAACATTATCAGTCGTGGATTTTATATTTTTTCACAAATTGAAATATTAGTGTTATATGTATTTGTATTGATGTCTCCTAACTTTGATATGCTTTAATAAATCCCATAGCAGCTTGAGAAGATAAACAGTAAATAGAATTGATCTGTGTGTAACATCAGCATCAATACATCTATTCTGTCAAGAGCTTAGAAGTTTGTCAGATGAGACCAAAATAAAACTTTTTAAGTTACATGTAAAATGTGACATATGGTTAGAAACCATCTTTGTCCAGCTGAACACAATCCCACATCAGTGAAACATGGTGGTGGCAGTATCATCCTGTGGGTATCCTTTTGTCCAGGAGGAAATCTCTACCATCTGCCGACAGCGCGTATTGAATCATATTTTACAAAATTTAAACAGTTCACCTGAATATGTGACAGCAGTTTCATGTTTTGCCACCAAACTTAAAAACTGTTTAATAATAAAGAATAGAGTGGAGAGAAAATTAAAACGAGTCCAACAAGTCAAAAGGAAATTGTGAATAAAGGAGAGAAGGTCATGTAACCAGTCTGGCAGAATTTTGGATATTTATAACAAAATCAAAAAATAATAAAAATCTTGAATCAATGTTCTTCTAGTTCACACTGAAGTGTTAGTTTGTGTTTGATCATCAAGTAAAGCCTAAAGAAAACAGTAAAGTTTGTGGCTGTAATATAACAAAATATGTAAAAGTTCAGGGAGTTTAAACACAATGTAAAAATAATGTGAATAATTTCTGTAAAATGCCGACAGCTGTGGTTGCCAAAATTTTAGCACAGTAGACATGACTGTAGTGTAAATTTTACAGATTTGTTTTACAGTGTAGTTCTACAAAGCACTGTAGAGAATATTTCTACTAAAATAAACTACATACCTTGGTTCTGTTCCTGCAGGTTTTTTACCTGAGTTTCTTGTACTAAAGAAAAGACAACACAAACATAACGTTTTAGTTGATTCAATCATATATTTAAATCATCTTTATTTATAACTTTTGCTCTAATAAAATCAGTACCTTGGTACCGTTTGTTCAGGGATTGCAGCTCCGTCGTCTTCACTGATAATGATAATAAATAATTCAAAC